TTCACAAGACAAAGACGACACATAACTAAGACCNGGAATATTCATCTAGAATAACAAGGCACGAGTGACTTCTAACAAATAACAGTTTTTGCGTTCAGCAACGCCGTTCTGTGGAGATATATAAGCACAGGAAGTCTGATGAATAATGTCAGTTTTACTAAGATAAACTGAAAAATGATCAAATTCATATGCCCGAGCAATATCAGAACGTAAAATACATATACGACAACCATACTGAGTCTTTATTTCCTTACGAAAGATCTCAAATATAGAGAATAATTCAAACCGAGCTTTCATCAAAAACAACCAAGTCACACGAGAATAGTCATCCACAAAAGACACAAAATAAGAATATTTATTAGATAAAATATTCTTTATTGGACCCCATACATCAGAATGTACCAACTCAAATAGATTAGACACACGATTATTGACTCTAGACTGAAATGACACACGGTGATGTTTACTAAGTTGACAAGCTTCACAAGACAAAGACGACACATAACTAAGACCGAGAACTTGGCGCTTGAGATTCTGGAGAGAGGGATGTCCAAGACGACAATGTTATTCAAAAGGAGACAACGACGTCTGTAGAGCCCGAGTAGGTGAATCAAAATCAAAGTAATATAGGCCACCGACTTCATACCCCGTACCAATCTTCCTCTTCGTCTTGAGATCCTGNTAGATTCTGGAGAGAGGGATGTCCAAGACGACAATGTTATTCAAAAGGAGACAACGAGGTCTGTAGAGCCCGAGTAGGTGAATCAAAATCAAAGTAATATAGGCCACCGACTTCATACCCCGTACCAATCTTCCTCTTCGTCTTGAGATCCTGAAAGACACAATAAGAGGGATAAAAGGTTACAAAACAATTGAGAGAATGAGTAATCTTAATAATGGAAAGTAAACTAAAAGGAAACTAAGGAACAAATAACACTAATGATAGAGACAAATCAGGACTCAAGTGAGTAGTCCCCAGACCTGAAACTTTAGAACAAGTACCATTAGCAAGAATAATACTACGTGTGAAANGTTACAAAACAATTGAGAGAATAAGTAATCTTACTAATGGAAAGTAAACTAAAAGGAAACTAAGGAACAAATAACACTAATGATAGAGACAAATCAGGACTCAAGTGAGTAGTCCCCAGACCTGAAACTTTAGAACAAGTACCATTAGCAAGAATAATACTACGTGTGAAAGTAGCAGACAGATAAGTAAAAAAAAACATCAGACGCACCAGTCATGTGGTCAGAAGCGCCAGAGTCTNATAACACTACGTGTGAAAGTAGCAGACTGATAAGTAAAAAAAAACATCAGACGCACCAGTCATGTGGTCAGAAGCGCCAGAGTCTATGATCCAGGGACTGCGGGTGGAGGACAATAAACAAGTGGAAGTAATACCTGACTGGGCAAAAGTAGCAGTAGAGGGGAATGGAACAGCCTGTTGCTGGGATAGAAACTAGGCATATTACTCTTGACCTAGTGTAACAGTAACTGACCCAGTATCTAGTGGAGCTGACCTAGGTATGGAAGCAACAACCGATGTGTCATCCTGATAAGGAGCCTGATTAGCAACACCATAAGGTTTTCCATGTAAATCTCAATAGAAGACAACAATGTGTCCTCCACGACCATAGTGAGTATAGGAACGGGATCCACTACTACCCCCACGACCACCCGTACGACCTCCGCGACCACTACGTCCACCACGTCCACCTTGATGACCATCACTATCACTATCACTATTAGGAACCACAAGAGCTGAGCGATCAATAGAGACACCATGATCAATGACTGAAGAAATAGACAGTGTAGCACGTTGTAAACGAGAGAAAACCTCCAGCAATGATGGAAGACTAGATCTACCCAAAATCTGAGAACGAATAACCTCATATTCAAGTTTCAATCCTACCAAAAACCTAACAATGTTCAAGTCTTCATGTTGCTTCTGCCAAACTATTGCATCAGTAGTAAACGGATGGTAAGTCTTCATCTCCTCACAGGACTCTCCAAACATGAGAGTANTCAAACTATTGCATCAGTAGTAAACAGATGGTAAGTCTTCATCTCCTCACAGGACTCTCCAAACATGAGAGTAATAATCCGCAAGGCTCAAAGTATCCTGCTCCAACTGGAAGTACTCCTTGCACACCTCATACGCACAGATAAAATTACCTATACTAGAATACATAGTGGTCAAGTGATCCCATATCTCTTTGGTAGTATCTAGAGCATAGAAGAGCTAATATTGGGCTCTATAATATTCAACAATAAAGAGATAATTTGAGCATCCTCTTGTTCCCACTGATTATACCCAGAAGTGTCTTCCTTGGGATTAGAACCCAACAGATATTTCTTAAATCTTTTGCCTCGAAGAAAGACTTGAACAGATCGGGACCATAAAGTATAATTAGTCCCATTGAGTTNCCAAACTATTGCATCAGTAGTAAACGGATGGTAAGTCTTCATCTCCTCACAGGACTCTCCAAACATGAGAGTAATAATCCGCAAGGCTCAAAGTATCCTGCTCCAACCGGAAGTACTCCTTGCACACCTCATACGCACAGATAAAATTACCTATACTAGAATACATAGTGGTCAAGTGATCCCATATCTCTTTGGTAGTATCTAGAGCATAGAAGAGCTAATATTGGGCTCTATAATATTCAACAATAAAGAGATAATTTGAGCATCCTCTTGTTCTCACTGATTATACCCAGAAGTGTCTTACTTGGGATTAGAACCCAGCAGATATTTCTTAAATCTTTTGCCCCGAAGAAAGACTTGAACAGATCGGGACCATAAAGTGTAATTAGTCCCATTGAGTTTGATAGAGGTCATGGGACCATTAATAAGAGTTGGTGAAGACAAAGATGGAGTAAGGGACCAAGAATCTTGTTTGGGTTCCATAATAGTGCAACAAATAGTAAACAAGAAGAGTTACAATGCTGAACTATAGGAAAAGAGACTGCTAAAAGGTTGAACCGGGTTGAAAAAGGTAGCTAGACTACTGAACCGGACTGGCTGAGCCCTCTGGACCACTGAACCGAGTTAGTTTGGCTTGCTGGAGCACTGAACCAGTTCGGTTTGACTTGCTGGAGCACTGAATCGGCCCGGTTTTGGAGCATTGAACCGGGTCGATTTGGCTTGTTGGATCATTGAACCGGGCCAGTTTGACTCGCTAAACCTCTAAACCCGAGTCACAACTGTCTGAACTGGTCTGAACCACTGAAATTAGGCTGAACCGAAACCAACTGGGGGTTGGATCAGATTTGGGTTGACCCAAAGTGGATCAGGTCTGGGCTGTTTCTTCTTTGTTGGTTTGGTTAGGGTTGTAGAAAACCCTTTTCTGCGACTGCACCTCAACAACCACACCTCCACCACAACAGCCACCACAACAACCACGCCACCACCACTAAACTGGTCGACTGCGCCTCTTCCCCACGACAAGCAACACCACAACTGACCACGGACAACACAGCACCAATACAAACCGAACGTCTGCAAACACAGTACCACCACCAACACGCACCGAACTTTAGCAAACACAGTACCACCACAACAGACCACCACTAACACCACCACCACCACAGGATTCCAATAAACACAGTACCACCACAACCAAAAATTAATTTATTCAGAATATATATATATATATATATATATANCACCACTAAACTGGTCGACTGCGCCTCTTCCCCACGACAAGCAACACCACAACTGACCACGGACAACACAACACCAATACAAACCGAACGTCTGCAAACACAGTACCACCACCAACACGCATCGAACTTTAGCAAACACAGTACCACCACAACAGACCACCACCAACACCACCACCACAACAGGATTCCGATAAACACAGTACCACCACAACCAAAAATTAATTTATTCAGAATATATATATATATATATATATATATTTATGATCGTAATGCTCTGATATCATGTTAAGTGTAAAACACTAAACACAATATTAGAGAGAAAATTGAGAGAGGTTAAAACTTAACATATCCCTCATACATTACTTGTATTTATAGGTAACTCATAATCATAAGAATTACACATACACACCCTCTTGTATTTACACATAATACCCTAACACTATTGACAATTTACATATATTGCCCTAATACTCTTAACACAAGATATTGGGAATCACAAAGTTCATAACCCAATATACTTTGGACATCAGCTTATTGATCAAGACAATTTTACAATTGGCCCCGTCTGTGTGTGTGTGTGTGTTATGTGTAGGAAAGCAAAGCAAAGAAACTCCACAAATATCACTTCTTTGTTACTTGTCGGATCAAGTTCAAATCATAAGGCATTATGCCTAACCATATCCTTTCTTGATCTTCTAATTGAAAGTATCTTTTCGTAGATTCTGGTACATGCACAATTTTTGCATCTAATTCCTCACAACTTTCTCTCTCTCTCTCTTATATATATGTATTTATAATATCAACTTAGTTCCACCGCTGAACTACACCCACAAGCACTGTCAAGAATCANGAAAGTATCTTTTCGTAGATTCTGGTACATGCACAATTTTTGCATCTAATTCCTCACAACTCTCTCTCTCTCTCTCTCTCTCTTATATATATATGTATATATAATATCAACTTAGTTCCACCGCTGAACTACACCCACAAGCACTGTCAAGAATCACAATCATACAAAGCCCAAAATGACCTTCCCCTCAAACTAACTGAAGACTTAGAACTATTAACTAGAACTGCTAATCAAGAATCACAACCAACAAGCATAGTTAGCTCAAATTAACCTCTTGGTAAAATTACTGACAACCCACTCAAATTCCCCCTGGTATGACCAAACTCAAGTTCTGTAATAATGTAGCTTGATATTTCACAATTTTCGTTGAACCATCAAGGTAGTAGTGAAAGTGAATGAAGCAAAGGATGCCACTTACCTTGTTGGAAGCATTGCAATGGTAGATGTTGCAAAGAAAAAAAAAATCGTAGGCTGGGGGCTACACAAGTCCCACCCGCTCCCAATTGCCCCAAGGGGCCTCAAACTCTGCCCAGCCCATGAGGATTGCAGGAGATACCACTAAGCTATCAAGCTCGTGGTGCAGCTACCAATTTAAAAGTTTTGTTCTAAGATGTAGAAAAGAAGTATTCCCCCATTCATTACATAGATATTCTTGGAACTGACCACCTGTACATCTTTTACTTCCATACCTTCTTCAGGCATACAGCATCAGTCACGATCACAGTTTCCTCTACCTCAGCTTTTTGCTCTTCAACCAAATCAGTCGTAATCATTGTTTCAATATGAATTTCTACATGATATAGGTTTATTTCGAGAGGATTTCTACTTTTCCAGTAAGAAGGGTTCAATTCCACTTGCTGAGACTGAAAATCAAGTCCAAACAACGAAACAAACACATTCTGAAGCCATAGTGAAGGACTTCAAAGCTACACATATTATAGGTCCTAAGTAGGTGATAAGGTGGTTAAAAGCAAGTAGCTCACAAAGTAGCTGAGTAGCACCTAGTGACAAGGAGATGACAACTGCTTACAAAAGCCCTACCAAGCAGACACCCTTTGCCTTGGGACTAAGAAAACTAATAGTAGAAACGTATCCTAATATCCAAGCTCATAAAATATATTAAAATTTAATTTTCATCGATATCAGCTCATAAGGTCTGTCTATATTATATCACAAAAAGGCCAAGGGATCTCCGTCTCATTTCTAAAATGCAGGGTGTGCTCATGTTGTTTTTTAAAAACTCAAGCAGTTTTAGTGATATGTAAACCAAAAATATAAAGCAGTCCTGCAGAATTTAGAATGGTAATAGTGGTTCTACTATCTGTAAAGGAAAACCATTCAATGGTTATCTTGACTTTACTTCCTTTATGCTGTGTTCGTCACTTTACATATTGTTGCTTAAAGGACCACTAGTCCTTCCCTTGTATGGTTGCTGTTCTTGCTGTATTTCATTATGTATATAAAAGTACAACTGACAATGAACAGTTAAGATAGAAAATATATGTCATGTATATTTATAAATACCTGCTGCAACCCTAGTGGCCGAAGAGGAGCCGAACCATCCTCCAAGACACCCCAGAACTCCTGTTCATCTGACAACCATAATACCACTGTCTCTGTTAGCCTGGCAAGCAAAATTTTCTGTATCTTCTCTTTTCCAAGTAACACATCTCCAGCGACAGTGGCTAATTGCTGCAGCTTGCCAAATAATGCCTGCAAGCACGCCAGAATTCTTGTCATTCATATTCAGAAGTTGGCTATGTTCATAAAATATGAACATTTTGTTGGTTGGCTGAAAAACAGCCAAATTAATGAGAAGGATATAAGTAGGTTTAGGTCTTTCATATCACTAAGCCTTGAAGGAAAGAAAAATATTCAAATTTTCCATGCCTAATAAAAGTAGTATACTATAGTGGCTTTACTGGAAAACACATTTCAATGAGACCAGCACAAAAATATCACATGGGAAACACCAAACTGCTTCCAATTAAAATAAAACACACATAAGAAGCTCACAAGCAACAGGCACACAAAAAAAATAATTTCATGAGATCCACCAAGCAACCAGCGAATGGAGTTTCTCCATTTAGCCCAACCACTCAACATATAAATAGGGAATAATAAAAACTGGACTAGACAGAGTTCAAAAAAAATACATATTTTGTGATATGATGGTGACAATCATGGCTTAGGAAGCATAGATGCGGATATGGTTATGATATGATACAACAAAATCTAAAAACACAAGGATAGCGATACGGTGGGATATGAGAATAAATTTTAAAAAAATATACACTGAATATATTAAATATTGATGTTTCATAAATACATAGTTAAAAATAAACTAACTTTAAAATGACCAAAAAATAATGTAAATCAAGTATTCAAATGGACAAGCCTTCAAAATCAAGCGAAAAACATATATGAATCAAACATTTATATCTAATAAAGTGTCATAAGATATTCAGACCAGTCTCTTGCTTTCACATCTTTAGGAATAAAATCTTAAATATGAGAGAAATGACATGATGTAAAAGACTCGTGTTCAAGGATCAAAATTTCATTTTGGTGCATAGTTTCAGTCACCTAAAATAAAAACGTTTCGACATGTTTCGAAAATATTTCGACTTATTTCGAAAACAGAATTAAAAAAAAAACTATTTTTCCAAAACATTAGTCGAAATATACTAAAGTATCTTGAAATACTTGAAATATTCCGAAATAATTGTCCAAATGCATTAAAATATTACAAAGCACCTCGAAACATTATTAAACACCACGAAGTATTAAAATTTCGATTTCATTACTGATTCATTTCGGTCTCTTTGGAAACAGAATCGTTTCGAGCATTTTGATCGTTTCGAAACGAAATTTTGATCCTTACTCGTGTTTAATAAATAACATATTAAATTGGACAACCATCTGAGATCCAAATTATATTTTTGCCTTGCACAAACTCTCCCATTTTTGTTCTAAANGTTTTGATCGTTTCGAAACGAAACGAAATTTTGATTCTTACTCGTGTTTAATAAATAACATATTAAATTGGACAACCATCTGAGATCCAAATTNATTTTGATCGTTTCGAAACGAAATTTTGATCCTTACTCGTGTTTAATAAATAACATATTAAATTGGACAACCATCTGAGATCCAAATTATATTTTTGCCTTGCACAAACTCTCCCATTTTTGTTCTAAAAAATATTTATTTTACTTCCATTATTTACTTCAATAGCCTATTTCCAAAATACAAAAATGATATGTTTAGCCCGAAATATCATGACGTATCCTAAACATATCAGTTGCGTATCCTCGTCGTATCCCAAACATATCCAAAAATACAAAATATTTTTACAATATCTAAGAGTATCCGATACATATTTTGCCATATCCGAGGCATATCCAAATCCTATACGGGACGGATACGGATATTCATCCTTGTTCAAGTACCCATACTTCAGAGATTATGACACAGACAAACTGCCAAAAAATAGAGAACAAAATGTCCAAAAATAAGTGCTACTTCAAATTATGGCCAAAAATGTATCAAAAAACAGAATCTGTCGACAAGGGCACTTTCACAATTTGAGAGACAAAGATAACCTGGAATGGCAGTGAAGGCAGAGGGTCAGAGTCCCAGAATAGATCCTCCCCTTTTCCATTTAAATAAATTTGAGCATCTAGTCGTGTTTTTCCATCTCTCGAGTAAATGAAATTTAACACATATTGTTGACAAAAATGATCTCTGAGCTTGTCCAACGAATGCTGAAGATGGCGCCTCCAATCCTTAAATTCAATGAGACTACTAGTAGGAGACGCGGTATTTTCATTAAGTCCACTTCCTGCTTCCTTGCCTTCACTCAATACACTCCAGATTCTTGATACAACCATCGGCAATAGTTCCTCTGCAACAGTGAATGCAGTTCCCAATAGTGAAAGTTGCTGGGAATCTGTTTCAGCTCTATAAGGTATTGCATCTTTTAGTTCAGCAAGACCATCGTCTTCAGACGGGCCATGCAAGGCTTTAATCAGAGCTTCCACATATTTATCGAAAAGCTGTGAAATTCTCGTCAATATATTTCCTCCAAAATGAAAAATGACTAAGCTGGTTAACTGCTCCACTATGTCCTGTTAAGAATATTTCACTCAAGATTACAACATGAATTGATTATTGAGCCAGAAAAATCCATACAAGTAGCAGTAATTCATCAAGATTCTTGAATGTTGCTTGTGTGTGCCTGAATTCATGCTCGTGTCACATATGTACAGGTTCTAGGTAATGNTAAAAATCCATACAAGTAGCAGTAATTCATCAAGATTCTTGAATGCTGCTTGTGTGTGCCTGAATTCATGCTCGTGTCACATATGTACAGGTTCTAGGTAATGTGTTCAACACCCCCCGGGAAGGCCTCCAGCGTCACCTTGCCTGTTTCCTCCCATAACGGCACCCTTCCGGATGCAACACAACAACACACACAATCCCCATTTCATGAAAGTATCAATCTTCAATATTAGGACTCTATTTTAAAGTTATTAAAATTTAATTGCACGCACACATGCATGAAATGCACCGTACATGTACCTTTCATAAATGTGTTGTATGTCTATGAACAGGTACATGAGGGTTATGCATGTAAATTGCATGAACCAATTTTAGGTACCTTTCCAAAAGCATGTTTTACTCAACAGTTTTACTGGATCTATGGCACAAGGACAGCAGAAAGGTCCCACATTTAGATTGAACACGGATGATGCCATAAGCCATATGATGGATGAGATGATTTACCATTTAAGACTTTGTATGGCCCTTTTTCTCATAAACTCTAATTTCACGTCTCAAGCAACATCATAAATTTACAGTTTCCAAAAAGACCTGTAAAACATACTAATATTTAGGTTATCTCTTATGCAGGACCATCAATCATAGAATTTCAATTTTTCATTTGCAAATCCTGTGTATGAAACTTAATGCTTATTGAAGTTCCATTATAAGGATTCCAGATATAGCCACTACAACAAAATGGGTTAACTCACTTTGACAATGAAAATGAACCTCATTCCACTATCAACAAGCACACTATCAGATGATGCTGCGAAAGTAGAAAGTGGAGATGCAAAGCGAGGTGACAATGTCAAGCTCTCATCATTTCCAGAGAAGTCAAGAACTACTCTTCTAGCATATCGGAAATTCAACTCCAGAACTTCTTCAATGTATGGCTGCAAAAGCACCAAAAGCAACTTCGAAAATTTCAGGCCTTGTAATTCCAACAAAAAGCAGTGATTTAAACTAGCCTGAACACAAATGCTAGCTGCACGTAAAGCAGCCACTGTATCAGAGGGGGGCGCATTCTCCTTAGCTAGTCGCACAAAAGATTCGATTTCCCACTCTGCCCATTGAACAATTCTATTACTGTAAACAGGATTGTCACCAAACATTGAACCGGATTCTCTTGTTGCCAATGAGATGGTAGAGAACACAAGGTTAGATAATGTGGCTGAATATGTTTCAGGATAACAAGGACATAATGGAAGAAAAACCTCAATACTTTTCTGGAGACGGGATCCAAATGACTTCAGCATTAGCTGATGTGCTAAAGCACCTTTTCCAAGCTTTAGTAAACCAGATAAAGCCTTCTTCAGTTCAGGGATACTCATGGAGGGTTGCTCAGTGATCGCAACAAGCTGACCCTCGAGCATTGCCTTTCTTTTCATAAAAGCAGACTTGAAAGAGGATGGTTCATTAGCATCTCCCAAGCCTTTCAGCTCTGGAGTACTTCTTTCTTCGGCATCTATTGCCTCTATTGCTTCTTCCACCTTATGCTCAGCCAGTAGAACATCAATATTCTCCAAAGATATGGTCATGTGCTCTTCTGCTTCATTGAGAATGCAATCTTCAACATCAGAATTTTGAGGGTTGTCTTGAGCTTCCTGGATGTTACCATTAGCTTTGTTCCACTCTTCCAAATCACGGCATGCACCACTCATCAAATCCTGCACAAGGATCCCTTGAGCAGAAATATGCTTCCGCAATTCATTCAACTCATGCTCCATTTCCACGACCTCTTCAGACAACCTACAGCAATCATGCTAATTAGCACTATATAGGACTATAATTATCTACTGGAACAAGGCAGCAATCATTCTAGTAATCAACTGGAGCAAGGAAGCAAAAAGACCACAAGCAGATTATTAGCAAGAGAAGATCTTCAACAAGAAGGTGCATTTTTTATACTGAACAACAACTTGAGAGGAACAAGAACCAGGTACCAGTGATAACTGCTGGAGAATAATTAATAACCCAAAGATGCACAGCACTGGACTCTCAAAATCAAGCCCAAGAATGTGAAAGGAAGCCACTAAAGAGAAGAAAGAATTCCAAAGGGCACTACATTGGATTATTTCTATGGGCCTATTTCACTTACTATTCTAAAGAGCAAGAAACGTTTAAAAGTCAATAGGTAGAGTATGTTCAAATGGAACATTTCTCTCAACCTCTGAATGTGTAGTTTATTCTTGTCTTCTCTCCCTACATTTTCCTCTTTTTCGCCTTATTTTTTCTCCTTATCCCCCCCCCCCAAAAAAAAAACCCTCTCTGCGGGTGACATGTTTTGGGAGCTTGGTAGCCTTCTTCTTCAGCCCACTAGAAACGTCCATGCTGACAAGAAAAGTCGCAGATAAAAAAATTCACTGAACAAAACTCTGGACCCATGATTTAGGGTTAAAGGACTTCCAGTAAGTTTTCCAATTTGTTGGACATGAGCTACTAGAATGGTCCATAGACTTATGCTGGGCCATGTTGCTGGTATATGATCTTTATTAACTTTAAGAATACTTTGAACTGACGTGTCAAAGTTTGCTATTAGGACCTCTAATTACTTTGGAAAATGCAGGGTTCCAAAAACTCTTTTCTTCTCATTCTTCTTCTCCTCTTTGATTCTATGCAAATTGTTAGACTCAATAACAAAAGCTAAGCATTAAAGAGATTTATCATCATTAAAAAATGAACAGTAAATAGCACATGAAAATGCCCATACCCCTAGCAAACAAAATGAAATTCCAAACCAAGAATTCCTATCTCCCAATCTAGTAACGAAATAATGACAACTCAACCTTTAAGTAAATCTGAGGCTACCCCTTTAGCTATAGAACAAAAAGGAGTAAATACTAAATGTTTAATTTAAGAACTGGTAACCCCTCCATCGGAGGTGCACCTATTCCTCTCCTTCCAAATAATCCCCCAAAGGCACAAAGGGTAGCTTGCCATGGTGGTCCACCTTACTTCTCTCTTGCCCACATGCCAACTATGCAATGCAAATTGGGCTGGTTTAGACAATTTGTTGAATCCCAAAGAGAGCAAGTAGAAGAGTCCACAACTCAACAGCAACCAGGCACTGGAGCAACACATGATCAAACTTTCCCTTCTTATCCATTGCAGGTACAGGGCCAGTGGGGAAATCTTCGCCTTTTCACCAGATTATCAATGGGGAAGATCATCCCTGATATTTCAAACCACCCAAAGAATGCCACCTAGGACGGTACTTTTCTACACCAAACAGCCTTTTGAGGGAGGTGGGAGGGCCCTCACAACTCCATGTCCAACAGAATGACTAAACTTTTCTTCCTTTAAAGCACTCTAAGATAAAGTAACTCCTACTCATCTAGGGAACATACATTCTAGATAAAAGAAAAATCTACTGCCCTAACCTCCCAATCTTGTAGCACACTACCAAGTCAGGGTCCCAAGACTCCCAACCACACCTCTCCCTCAAAAGCTAACATAATAAGCCACTGACAGTAAACATGTCCAGAAATATCGATTCAGGGAACCACCTCTACATGCTGCCCATGCCAAAATCTCACCTTTTACCATTTCAATAAAGTTGATTATATACTATGAAAATTCATTCCATTTCTTATGCTTTTCTAAAACGCCACCCTTTAAGAATCACGAACTTTGCCAAGCTCTGATTTTCCCTTGCAGTACCATATATTCCACCATTACTCTCGTCCATCAACTATTCTTNTATTATACACTATGAAAATTCATTCCATTTCTTATGCTTTTCTAAAACGCCACCCTTTAAGAATCAAGAACTTTGCCAAGCTCCGATTTTCCCTTGCAGTACCATATATTCCACCATTACTCTCGTCCATCAACTATTCTTGTCAATGGTATACCTCCATAAATGTTCCCCATAGGGAACTTTGTTGGTTAATTCCGTTTGTGTACTGTTTTGCACAGTCAGTTCTAAGCCCGGATAAAGGAAGATAGTTACGTTTAGTAGCTGACATGCGCAAAACTCGTCAGACCAAATTAAACATCAAGCCAATGAATATTCATGTACATACTAGGGCATTCCCCGATAGCAATGCATCGCACTTGCACTCAAGTGCTTCAAAAAATGGGCAAGGGGCGCCAATGCAGTGAAAAATTCTCAAGGGTTCCTGCATCACTTTGGACAAGCGCAGGTAAAGAAGTTAGTCCAGAATACTAAACCTAGATTAGCAACTTGGAATATAGGAGCACTAGTAGGCAAAGCAATTGAGCAAGTTTAAATCATGATTATAAGAAAAGTTAATATAGCGTGCCTACAAGAAACTAAGTGACTAGAGACTAAAGCCAGATAATTAAAAAATACAGGTTATAAACTTTATGATGCAAGAAAAGATACACATAGAAATGGAATAGGAATAATAATAGAACGGCCATAAGCCCCACTTTACTTTATAGTACCGGGTGTTGCTCAATTAAAAATCAACACAATCAAATATTGAGTGTGATAAAAATAAGAATGTTAAGATGAATTTGTGGTAAAACTAGGAAAGATAGAACTAAGGAACGATATATCCATGAAAAAATAGACATAACTCATATAGGAGATAAATTAAAGGAAAATCAACTTAGGTGGTTTAGACATTTATAGAAANTTGTCAATGGTATACCTCCATAAATGTTCCCCATAGGGAACTTTGTTGGTTAATTCCGTTTGTGTACTGTTTTGCACAGTCAGTTCTAAGCCCGGATAAAGGAAGAGAGTTACGTTTAGTAGCTGACATGTGCAAAACTTGTCAGACCAAATTAAACATCAAGCCAATGAATATTCATGTACATACTAGGGCATTCCNTAGTTACGTTTAGTAGCTGACATGCGCAAAACTCGTCAGACCAAATTAAACATCAAGCCAATGAATATTCATGTACATACTAGGGCATTCCCCGATAGCAATGCATCGCACTTGCACTCAAGTGCTTCAAAAAATGGGCAAGGGGCGCCAATGCAGTGAAAAATTCTCAAGGGTTCCTGCATCACTTTGGACAAGCGCAGGTAAAGAAGTTAGTCCAGAATACTAAACCTAGATTAGCAACTTGGAATATAGGAGCACTAGTAGGCAAAGCAATTGAGCAAGTTTAAATCATGATTATAAGAGAAGTTAATATAGCGTGCCTACAAGAAACTAAGTGACTAGAGACTAAAGCCAGATAATTAAAAAATACAGGTTATAAACTTTATGATGCAAGAAAAGATACACATAGAAATGGAATAGGAATAATAATAGAACGGCCATAAGCCCCACTTTACTTTATAGTACCGGGTGTTGCTCAATTAAAAATCAACACAATCAAATATTGAGTGTGATAAAAATAAGAATGTTAAGATGAATTTGTGGTAAAACTAGGAAAGATAGAACTAAGGAACGATATATCCATGAAAAAATAGACATAACTCATATAGGAGATAAATTAAAGGAAAATCAACTTAGGTGGTTTAGACATTTATAGAAAGGTCTACTACAACACTAGTGAGAAAGAGTGATATGATAGCTATTGACGGTAAGCATAGAAGTTGAGGAAGACCAAAATTAACTTTAAATGAAATAGCAAAGAAATTTTGATTTTAATAGAAAATAGGGCCTTAATAAAGCACAATGACAAACAGAATCCATGTACTCAACCCAAAAAATGTTGAAACAAAGCTGAGTTGAGTTGAGAAAACTTTGCTAGTAAAACATAGCCTTTATGTAAGTTTTTTACTCCAAAACCATAAATTTACAAGCCCAACCCGTTTCCACACTCCTTGGGTTTTAGTTTGACAATTACTCCACAATTGATTACTGTGCGATATTTTTGATAACCACTTTTCAAGAAATCCAAGAACATATCTCTTCATAGAACCATGCCAACTCTAAAACCTTGACATCCATAAACCTTACAACAATTCTACTTCTAATCTGTATCTGCAAACTTTCCCACAATTTATGAAGCACATGATATGGATATGGTGAAAAGTAGCACATAAAAACAGGCAGGATACATCTATGATAAAACATTTTTTATATTCTCATTATCCGTTAATAAGTAACAATTATAGTTTTAAATCAAATATTTAGTAATAATCTAATAAGTAAACTATTTCTTGCAAATAAAATGGATATGTTTTTAAAGACCCCACCAATACCAAACCCATTTTAAATTTAACACTTGGGTCAAAGATTCAGAATAGAGTCTAGAGCATTTTGATCAAGCTCCATCCATCAATAGAACTTGTTCCTTGAACTTACGCCAACATGCCAATTGGACAATATAAATAAAACTGTGGCATATGANATAGTCCATCCATCAATAGAACTTGTTCCTTGAACTTACGCCAACATGCCAATTGGACAATATAAATAAAACTGTGGCATATGACAATTTACAAAGGAATGATAAAACAGATACAAGGAAATCTCAGACCTTTAACCATGAGCCCCTTTTCCAACACATGCATTAGATATTTCTCTCTCTCTATCTATTCTTTTAATTTTTCCAGGTCTCCTATGTTAAGCCATCAGTTATCAGAGAGAAATATCTCCTCTAAGGTCCATTAAAATGGAAGTTAGAAAGAGGAAGAGTTGAATAAAGTGCACAANATGGTAAAACTAGGAAAGATAGAACTAAGGAACGATATATCCATGAAAAAATAGACATAACACATATAGGAGATAAATTAAAGGAAAATCAACTTAGGTGGTTTAGACATTTATAGAAAGGTCTACTACAACACTAGTGAGAAAGAGTGATATGATAGCTATTGACGGTAAGCATAGAAGTTGAGGAAGACCAAAATTAACTTTAAATGAAATAGCAAAGAAATTTTGATTTTAATAGAAAATAGGGCCTTAATAAAGCACAATGACAAACAGAATCCATGTACTCAACCCAAAAAATGTTGAAACAAAGCTGAGTTGAGTTGAGAAAACTTTGCTAGTAAAACATAGCCTTTATGTAAGTTTTTTACTCCAAAACCATAAATTTACAAGCCCAACCCGTTTCCACACTCCTTGGGTTTTAGTTTGACAATTACTCCACAATTGATTACTGTGCGATATTTTTGATAACCACTTTTCAAGAAATCCAAGAACATATCTCTTCATAGAACCATGCCAACTCTAAAACCTTGACATCCATAAACCTTACAACAATTCTACTTCTAATCTGTATCTGCAAACTTTCCCACAATTTATGAAGCACATGATATGGATATGGTGAAAAGTAGCACATAAAAACAGGCAGGATACATCTATGATAAAACATTTTTTATATTCTCATTATCCGTTAATAAGTAACAATTATAGTTTTAAATCAAATATTTAGTAATAATCTAATAAGTAAACTATTTCTTGCAAATAAAATGGATATGTTTTTAAAGACCCCACCAATACCAAACCCATTTTAAATTTAACACTTGGGTCAAAGATTCAGAATAGAGTCTAGAGCATTTTGATCAAGCTCCATCCATCAATAGAACTTGTTCCTTGAACTTACGCCAACATGCCAATTGGACAATATAAATAAAACTGTGGCATATGACAATTTACAAAGGAATGATAAAACAGATACAAGGAAATCTCAGACCTTTAACCATGAGCCCCTTTTCCAACACATGCATTAGATATTTCTCTCTCTCTATCTATTCTTTTAATTTTTCCAGGTCTCCTATGTTAAGCCATCAGTTATCAGAGAGAAATATCTCCTCTAAGGTCCATTAAAATGGAAGTTAGAAAGAGGAAGAGTTGAATAAAGTGCACAACTTTGTGCTTTATGTTCTGTTTGGAAAGAGGGTTCAATTTGGTCATAATCAACAATTTTAAGCTTCCAAGGAAAGTCTAGAGACAAAAGGAACGAGATTTGAAACTAATAGAAGGAAAAAACTTAGATTCTCTCTACTTCTTGTCAATTAGTCTTGACTTAGATGCTCTAAAATAGAGCATGTTATTGTCATTTCAAATTCTTTAGGATTTCTTTGAGATATCCATGGATTTTGTGTATGCCTTGATTCTTCCACCATCTCTAGTGGTAGAAGTTGAATCGCATAATGAATCACCACCTAAAAGCACTACCATCGCCAAAACTCGATCACCGACAAAAACCACCAAAAGAGCATTTTGTTGGGTAGGCAAAGTAAGGAAATAGATTAGTAGAACTCAATTTAATGAAGAAACCTCTAAGAAGCATTAAATGAGCATACTAGACCCCCCAATTGAGCAACTGATAAAATAAAAGGAAAAATGGAACTCCACCCTTTTCATCTTCATCATAGTTGTCTAAAAAAAGTAATTGAAGCGCATCTATAGAACATTGAAAATACCATAAAATTTTCATATCAACAAAATGAACAAATAAACTTCACCATCTATTATGGTCAAGAAGGGTAAGGCAGTAGCGACGCGCAAGAAGAGAGGGGTTTTACATGTTAAAATCATTGATTGACCTGGTGCAGATAATGAGATGTAGACAAGAGCAACATGGGAGCGGCATGAGAGTCTGAGAGGCTAAGAAAATCTAAACCCTATGAGAGACTGGTAGAGAGAAAGCGAGATTAATTGGGATGAGAAAGATTGAGGGTTGGCAAATGGATAGATAAGGTAAAAGAAACAGGAAGGAGTGACGTGCCCTAACTCTCATATATATGTTTTTTTTTTCATGAACCACTTTATTGAATTTAGTCAGGTTTCAGGTTGGATCCGACTTTGATGGTCTCAACCTAAGTACTACTCAAACCTTACTCGAGTTGTGAATTTTTAGCGCAAGCCCAGCCTAGTAGCAAAAATCCCTGCCTTGACATTGAAATTTTGAGTCGATTTAGGTTGGATTAGAGCTAGCCCACCAAAGTACATAAGTCACAAGAGCGTTATGTGGTTCTCTTTTAATGTGAGAGGCAATGTGTAAATTTGCTCCAACACTGCTCAATATAAGTTAGAATAATAATCTTGGGTTTTTGTTGTTAGAATTAAGTAAATCAAGTTTAAGGCTTTAAGCTAAGAGTGGGTTGGCACTATGACCTTTCCAGTTGTAGGCACCATTATGTAATGCTTTCAAGTTTAATAAGTATAAAGTCATTTAGTGCAACCTTGGCTTCCAAGTAATTACTTTAGAAACAAGTTTATCTAGACCTCCAACTCCAGGCTATAGTTCTTTAAATATAGCCATGAAGTGGCTTAGTTTTGGTGTCGTGAATAAAGAAGTCTTCAAGTCGATTCATAAGAAATATGATATTTATTAACAAGTTTCCTTATCATTCATAGTCAACTGAAAATTGAGGCATTATAATACCTCAAGAAAGCCAAGTACTTTGCACGTGTATTGCCGCACAAGTTTTCCACTGCATCCTTTAAGTCCAAAAGCTCAAAACAAAGTTTTCTGATTCCCTGAAAGAATAAACACATTCAACTCATTGTTATGGAAAAGTGAATGTCTAAGAATGAAAAAAATGTCAATCAGAAATTGCTGCCAAATAAAACCCAAGCAGAAAAGACAATGTGAATATGTTATCTTTTCACTTTTATATTTTATAAGAAATATAGTTTGAAGTAATTAGAAGCAAAGGTACAACAATAGTGGACAAGGAATCCAATCATTCTTACAACAAAGATGCACACACAACAAAAGCAAGTTATCCAACAATTTTTCAAACAAAATCTCCACCACAAATTGCAATCTAATCTTTGTGAATAAAACAGAAGTGAATGTCCCAAAACACATTCCTAACCAATGCCCATAATGAAGCAAAAGATTTACTCTTTTCCATAGGAATTCCTCACACTCAACTTTGTCATCAAAAATTATATAATTTATTTCCACCCAAAAAAATTGCCACAAGCCCACACCTCCGAACAATGGCAGCCCTCTTACTCTTCCATAAACCTCCATAAGCCTCCAAAAACAATCCCACAAGGATAGTTCTTAGGAGGAGTGAAATAGTGCTAAAGAGCAAACAATTATGTTTCCCACCAAAACGAATTATAATAACAGTAATGAGGATGGTGGTAGCAATGATGATGTTCCTTATTTCTACAACAAATCATAAAAATGTAAAAAAAAAATTATGATACTACAGAGAAAAATATATTTTGGGTCGCCAACACCTTATACTAGAAAACAATCTTGGAATTGTATGTATCATATACTGTATAAAGATAAGTATGGCACAAGCATAACTTTTGTCCGTCATAAGAGCTTTGGAAAGACGGTATCATAATACTTGGTCTATAGGAGACGATAAATGACATCAGCAGGAAGTGATATTAGAGCTAACCAACATGGAGGTTCTTTCTCCCACTTGCACATCTTGATATCGACTACGAAGCAGAAATACATTTTGGCCTTCTGAGAAATATTTACAGAAAATCTTAAGCACTACACAAAGGTAAATTTCTTTTATGTAATTTATCTCATTATCGAAGATATGGATGACGAACCGCANCGACTACGAAGCAGAAATACATTTTGGCCTTCTGAGAAATATTTACAGAAAATCTTAAGCACTACACAATGGTAAATTTCTTTTATGTAATTTATCTCATTATCGAAGATATGGATGACGAACCGCAATAAATGAAAAAGTGATCTAGAGTATCAATGGCTAGTCTCCATTGACATATGAGTCTTTGTACCTCCAAGACAAGGCTCAGATACAATGCATGCAAATTAGGGGTCTGCCTTCAGAAATATCAGATTATGATAAATAGAACTTTAATTTACTTGGATGGTGGTAATGGACTACGAATTCAATCTCTGGAAGTAGATTTGAAACGCTTCAACCTTGAAAAGACCGCTTCATATAATCACAATTGAATAAAGTATAACAGGTCGGAAAGTCGATCAGATTATTTAATTAGTTCGATAGCTACATATGAAAACATGTAAGGGCGAGGAAAGAACTTTTTGGCTTGGGGTTAAAAGAATCAAAAAGTCACGTTGGTAATGGACCTCAGAAGTATTTTTACGGAAGCCAAAAGTAAAGCTTTGCTCTTCCCCTGAATGGATACCACTCACCAGACCATCCTTAAGTGGGAACAGCAATTATTAGTACACAGCATTATCAATTTGGTGGCTGCAAATCACCACTGTCTGCGCATAAATTCATATTTTCTTGTTTTAGGCAATTTTTTACTAAGCAGATTTCTAAATGTTTGCTTTGTAAGAAAAATAAACATAATACTAAAAATCAACTGATCAAATTTCAAAGAAATTCAGAATACCCAAGGAAACGGCACCTAAAAAATTTCTCCTTCAGAAAAGGGAAAAGCCAGATCACTTACAATGCTGCCATAAAGACCAACATTTCTCATAAGGAAACGAAAAATAGTCTAGACCCAACTAAAACCAGTAAATGACAGAGCAATGTGCCCACTTTCTGCTTTAGAGTAACTCAAATAAAGCAAACCCAGGAAGAAAAACGGAGCTTCTTTCATTGAATTGAACGAAAACTAAAGAAACCCAGATGAAAAAAAAAAAAAATTTTACTAACCGAGTGAGAGATTTTGGGGACAGCATTTTCAGTTCTTTCTCATTTGCTAAAGTTTTCTCAGCAACCAAACGAAATGGGAAGGGAAAGAGAAGAGTTCTTGTACCTTCNTTCAGTTCTTTCTCATTTGCTACAGTTTTCTCAGCAACCAAACGAAATGGGAAGGGAAAGAGAAGAGTTCTTGTACCTTCTCAGTCTTGGACTGATAGATAGTGTCGATCTTAGATTGTGGGGTGACTGATTCCATTGATGGGAAGTCATCCTCTTCTTCACTGCTCTCCATTATACGCCCTGCCCTGTCTTTCTTCTTCGCTCTCTCCACCTTTTCTCTCTCTTTCTCAAAGTTTCATGTGCAGGTTTGAGAGTAGAGAGGACCTGAACTGCACAGCCAAATGAGATATGTCCGAAGAGGAGCGGAAAGCATCGAGAATTTCAAGTCTCATTCGTGACTTCAATTTTTTATTTTTCCCTTTTCTGCTAGGGGCAAATAACAAAAGTGCCCATTGGACTGCTGGCCTGGTTTCCTGACCATTACAATCAACCTCTTTTATTACCGTAATAATCTCATCCCAAAGGTATATTTTATTTTATTTTTTAATTTTTCAAAAGGAACTATTGGAATTCAATTAATTAAAAATATCAAGAGGCAATATAATATCTATACTTTTTTTTTTTTAGAGGAAAAGGGATACTTAAACTCTTGATCTCGTAAAGGTAAATCTTTCACAAGGTAAGGAATACCGTTAGACCAAAAATCTATTAATTTATAATATCTATACCTCATCTTCNATTTTTCAAAAGGAACTATTGGAATTCAATTAATTAAAAATATCAAGAGGCAATATAATATCTATACTTTTTTTTTTATGAGGGAAAGGAATACTTAAACCCTTGATCTCATAAAGGTAAATCTTTCACAAGATAAGGAATACCGTTAGACCAAAAATCTATTAATTTATAATATCTATACCTCATCTTCCCAAATATCACAAAAAACAATAAAAAGCACATGAAGAAATGTGCTACCTTATTACCCGACCTTCTCACGGNTTCTTCCTAAGAAATGTGCTACCTTATTACCCGACCTTCTCACGGTAGATACATAAAAATAGCTAAAGCCACGTAAATGTTCCTGATATCAACTCAAACATTGTTCGAAGGATCAAAATCTTGCTTAGTATTAGTAATATGTTGTTTGGGTCTTTCAAATATAGCAAAAATATTTGTTGAAATCTCTTATGTGTATCATGTAAATTAGAAAATATCAGTAACAATCAATAATTAAAAATAGTAACAAGTAAGAATNATGTGCTACCTTATTACCCGACCTTCTCACGGTAGATACATAAAAATAGCTAAAGCCACGTAAATGTTCCTGATATCAACTCAAACATTGTTCGAAGGATCAAAATCTTGCTTAGTATTAGTAATATGTTGTTTGGGTCTTTCAAATATAGCAAAAATATTTGTTGAAATCTCTTATGTGTATCATGTAAATTAGAAAATATCAGTAACAATCAATAATTAAAAATAGTAACAAGTAAGAATAAAATAGTAGNGTAAATTAGAAAATATCAGTAACAATCAATAATTAAAAATAGTAACAAGTAAGAATAAAATAGTAGCACATAAATCTATATTTAACTAACATATAAACTTACTAGTTTGTGGATCAGAAATTTTTATTGAATTTATATAGATTCAAGTTAGTGTTTGATATTATGTCCTTAAATAGATTTTGCCCCACACTTGATGTTTATAGAAATCAAAATGTCTGCCTCCAAGGATATAATGACCTTCACGCAATTAGAAGTAGCACTCCAATCAAGTTGCTCAGCAAACCAGAAAATTGTGTTTTGTACTCTCAGATATATAAATTGCTAATGCTGAAAATATGATTGTAATGACTGCCTTAATGACTACGAAAAATGAACGCTCAATGACAATGTAACTGAGTTATTTATAGGCAGAATGGTGACTGATTTAAATAGTCACCATGCAAACATATGCAACCCAACAAACACATGCAACCCAGAAGACACCATTGAAATTTGTCCATTGAGAACACACACGAATTTGAATTTCAGATTGAAGGAAAAATTATATCCAAATAGGTGCGAAATTTTGAATTCCAATGAGCATCAGAAATTAAATTTTCAAGTTAAGAAATTCAAGCTCAATTTTTTAAATGAATTTTTTTAAAAGAGATAAGGTTGGGTCTAAACCACACCTACACCCACACATGTATCCGAGCTCGGCCCTGCCAGGTCGTGAGGAGGCGAGGTGGGCGGCACATACGTCCATGTGTAATCGAATCAAAATTCATGTAGGTACTCGCTCTGCTCACAAAAGTGTGGTACCCCTTAGAGCTCAACCCATAGAGCAATCTTGACATATATATATATATATATATATATATATATATGTATATGCAGAATTTTTTCTCAACCAATGTGAGATTGATGTCAAATCTCACATTGCACAACCTCTATTTTTGCAATATAAATGGGCACTTTGAAGTATATTTTCTCATTCATTTCTTACTTGATTTGAACAAAATGAATATACTATGTTATTCTACTCACGGAATAGAATAGGAACCCATAAAAATTTACTCAAAACGACAAGTAAGTCTTACTTTAATTTAGACTCAAAGTCGACATAAACAGTTTTTTAGTTGTAAAAACTAAATTTTTGGTTGAACAATCCCCTACATTAAGGAAAAATTGGTTTGTTAGAATGCAAATGATATGTTGACATATTGTCGAAAGTACATCTTGAAAGACCTCGTGCATTGGAATAGGTAGCTTTTGGCCTTAAACCTTCTCTAGTGAAAGCCCATCGGACTTACCGGATAAATAGTGAACATGATTGTTGGGAAATACTTGCAGCAAAATTGATTAGTATGATGACGAGAAAAATAAATAAAATATTCAAATCAAAGCACCCAAAGAAAAAGAGAACACTAAATATTTATGTAGTTCAACAAAATTCATGCCTATGTCCACGAGACATAATTCGGTCACCTTCTTCACTATTGAGCAAAAATTGAGTACAACAGTACGAGCCTCACCGCTCGAGTTTAATATCCTAAACACAAGATTTTTATACCCTTGTACACCCATACTCAATTCTCACCTACCGAGTATGAAAGTACAACATACAACTTTATTATTGGACTCTCGCTACACAGTCAGAATTCAAGTGAACTTCGGATGCCAAAAGCTAGAGAAATCAATGCCTATGTATAGGCAAAGTTATGATGATACTTTAGTAAATAAGCTGAACTTTCAAGGAAATGACTTAAAGGCCAAAAATCATATTTTCAAAGCTCCTTGTCTTCTTCCTCTACATTCCCGAAGCTTTTTCACAAATCTATCACATGTATCTCTCTATCAGTAGACAATAGCTCGTGTGGTCTAGAACTGGCAAAGATTCGGTGCCACTTTGGTGCCCATCGATAGCCCACATCGGCCTCGGATTTTCTTGTCGAACAACTACGCTTCATTGAATTTGAAGCCATCCTCAACAGTCTTCATCAACAATCTCCACCTTGGCGAGAATTAAATGACCTCCACCTGAAACATTAGGTTTGTCTCTTGATACAAATGTTTATCACCACCCCTTGGGATGTTCCTTCAATCTAACAGTGTGAAAGATTGATCAAGTTCAAGCAATGCTTGAACTTTTATGTAGTAACCAGCTTTGTTATCATACCAGCTGCATTGTTTTTCGTATAAACTTTCATCAAATTCATCTTGTCTTCTTCCACCCACTCTCGGAGAGCGTGATACCTCACGTCAATTTGTTTTTTCCTGACATGATAAACTTGATTCCTAGCCAAATGAATAGTACTTTGGCAATCACAATACAACTCCAAGCTTTCCTACTTCAATCCTAGTTCCTTGAACAAACTTGTCAACCACAAAAGCCTTATTGACAAATTCCATAGTTGCCATGTATTCCACTTTAGTTGTGGATAAAGTAGGAGTCGATTGAAGCATAGTTTTCCAACTGATAGGTCCTCCATGCGAGTGTAAATACATAACTCGTAGTAGACCTCCATTTCTCCAGATCACCAACATAGTATGCATCAACATATCCCACAATCTGTCATGTTCCATCTTGTTTATGATACGATACCAAAATTCACCGTACCTTGCAAGTACCTGAATATCCATTTAACTACATTTCAGTGTTCCTTGCCCAGATTATCCATGTACTTACCGACAATACTGACTACTTGTGAGATGTTGGCCTACTGCAAACCATTGCATACATTAGACTTCCCACAGCACTAGCGTATGGCACAAGAGACATGTCCTCCACTCCATTAATTGTAGAAGGACATGATCTAGCCAATAATTTAAAGTGGTTAGTTAAAGGAGTATTAACAAGTTTAGAGTTACCCATGCTAAACCTCTCTAGCACATTCTCCACATATTTCTTTTGTGATACACATAGTTTGTCTTTTTCCTATCCCTCTGGATTTCCATTTCAATGATTTTTTTAGCAACTCCTAGATCCTTCATATCCTATTCCTTCTATAATCTGGACTTCAACGAATTTAACTTATGTATGTTATTTGAAGCATTTAACATGCCATAAACATGAAGCATTAGAGTTACAAACAAAAACCATCACCAAGCATTTTAAAATAAACACAACTATCATAGTTGCTCTTCATGTAGCCAATATCAACCATTAAAAGAATCAAACATTTTATACCATTGTCTTGGAGACTTTCTCAGCTCGTAAAGAGATCTTTTAAACTGGTATATTAGATGCTCTTTACCTTGCTCCTTGAACCCTTCTAGTTGTTCCATAAATATTTCCTTCTCCAATTCCCCAAGAAGGAATGTTGTCTAGATGTCAAGCTGCTGCAACTCAAAGTCAGGCATAACTACCATGGCTAAACATAACACAAATAGAAGAATAATTAACAAGATAAATTTTTTCATTATAGTCAATTCCTTCCATTTGCCTATAACCCTTGGCGACAAGTTGTGCCTTAAATTTTCTCCTTCATTTTTCATTGTATACCCATTTGCAGTCAATGACCTTGCACCCCTTGGGTTTTTCAACTAGCTCACAAGTGTTGTTCTTGTGTAGAGATTTTATCTCATCCATCATTGCTAGCATTCATTTTTCACTTTTCTTGTTTTTGACTGCCTCCTAAAAACAAGATAGATCTCCAATACCAATAGTTAATGCGAAAAAAAATTATATTTTCAAAATCATACCTAACCGATGCTTTTTGGGTCCTTTTCTCTCTTCCAACAACAAGAATATTGGGTTCTTGCTACTTGACATCACTACCAGATGTATCTTTTTGAGAAGATGTGGTGCATTATCTTCTCCACTGGCCCCTATGTCACATTTGACTTCACCTAGACTAAGCATTTATTTTATAAGCCTCCACCTCTTCATCGACTTTCTTCCTTTTTAAATTCAACATATGTTCTTCATTGAAGATAACACCTCTGTTGAAAATAATCTTTCGTGCAACTAGATTTCAAAGTTTTTACTCGTTCATGCCTGTTTCATAGCCGACAAATTTGCACTGCTTTGACTTTGGGTCTAACTTGGATCGTTACTGCTCCTACATGTGAACATAGGTTGGACAACCAAATATTCTCAAATTGGAATAATTAATCAGTTTACCTGTCCAAACCTCCTCAAGGACTTTTGTATTAATAGCTGAAGATAGTGACCTGTTAACAATATAACATGCCATGTTAACAGTCTCAACCAAAAATGACTTTGGCAAGCCTGCATATATTCTCATATCTCTTGTTTTCTCTAAGAGGGTCCTATTAATTCTTTCCACTGCACCATTTTGTTGTCGCTTTCGTCTTGCAATACATTCTGAATTCTCGGAGTGTGTACTTTGTTCTGTTGTCTGTCTGTAGGTACTTGACTTGCTCCCCTGTCTACTTTTCAACCTTTGATTTCCATTGCTTGAATATATCAAACACTATATTTTTATGCTTTATAAATTAGACTCATACTTTTCTGGAAAAGTCATCGATAAATGTCATAAAATACATTGCTCCACCTTTTGATGGAACTGACACAAGTTCCCATTGGTTGTATGTACTCCAACACATCCTTGCTTATATAATGTCCTCATTTGAAACTAGTTGTGCATGTGTTTCCATACAAGCAATGCTTGTAAAAATTAAGTTTACAAGTTTTTACCCCATCAAGTAGACTGTGTCTATGAAGTTCCTGCAAACCTTTCTCACTCATATAGCCAATGTGTAAATGCTAATAGAGTAGTGTCATCCGTACCCGAATCCAAGGAGTGGTCCCTATCCATTGTCATGAAGGTGGAACCATTAGAATCAAGTGTACCCAAGGAAATTGAATTCTTTTTAAGTTCAAGGACATGCCGCACATCACCTAGTGTTCTTACCATATCATCAAATATTTTAATTTTAATGGTCCCAATTCCAATGGTCTTACAAGATGAATCATTCCCCATTAGAACTATTCCTCCATTATAAGGTTTATAAGTATCAAACCATTCCCTATAAGGTCACATAGAATATCTTGAATCCAAAATTCATTTGTTAGTAAGATAATTTGTACCTATGGTGACCGCTAATAAAATCACCATTTTCGTTCAAGTTATCTTGTGCAATGTCCGCTTGATCTGAATTAGGAGATTTTTCTTTTCCCTCTAGATCTTGCTTTTGTTGATTACAGTCCCTTTCTCAAGTGCCCCTCCTTGTGGCCGTAGTAGCACTTGTATTTTCCGCTATTCCTCCATCTTGATTTGAAGAGAGATCTCTCTCTATTTCCAGGGTCCTTTTGATTGCTCTTTTCGCCCTGTTGACTCAATTCACTTTTGGCCACCAACTCTTCTACTTGAGATCTATTTCCTGGCTTCTTGAATGCCTCAGTCTCCAAAAGAACAGTTGTCACCTCATTAACATTGAGAGTATTTTTTTCCAATCAAAAGTGTAATCACATGTGCATCATAAGAATTTGGCTACGACTTCTCCAACTGTCACCTCAACATTANGCCTCATCAACATTGAGAGTATTTTTTTCCAATCAAAAGTGTAATCACATGTGCATCATAAGAATTTGGCTACGGCTTCTCCAATTGTCACCTCAACATTAATTAGTTGAGTAATAATTTTATTGAAAACATTGGGATGATCAAATAAATTTGTTCGTTCTTCCATCCGTAATTGATATAATTTTTTTTGAGGAGAAATTTATTTGTGAATGATTTTGACACACACACACACGCGCGCACACACGCACACATATATATAACATTGGTCACTATTTAGAAGCAGATGTTTCAGTTAGAAACTATATTTTACCTTTGGTGTGAGACATAAGCGGATGATGCTCACAACTTTCATCTCAAGTTCTTCCCAATCTTTTTTTTCATGTTTGCTAGCTTCTTTTCGATACCATCGAGTGCTTTGACAAGCCCTTGTTGCACCAAAATATCTTTCATCGTACTTTGCTAGAAACATAAATTAATTTTTCCATCAAAGGACTCCACCTCGAATTTACCCATCGAGATTCCTCTTCCTACAATTGTACTTGAGAATAAGAAATTAAGAATAGTGCGCCTTGTTCAAACTTTTCGATGCTGAACCTAGAGGCTATAATATTACTTGTTGGAAAATACTCACATCAAATTGATCAGTACGATGACGAGAAAAATAAATAAAATAATTAAATCAAAGTACACAAAGAAAAAGAGAACACCAATATTTACATAGTTCGGCAAAATTCCTGCCATGTCCATGAGACATAATCCGGTCACCTTTTTCACTATTGAACCAAAAATTGAGTATAATAGTACAAGCCTCACCGCTCAAGTTTGATATCCCAAACCAGAGATTTTTACACCCTTGTACACCCCCACTCAATATGAAAAATACAATAGACAACTTTATTATTGAACTCTCACTACACACTCAGAATTCAAGTGAACTTCGAATGCCAAAAGCTAGAGAAATCAATGCCTATTTATAGGCAAAGTTCTGATGACACTTTAATAAATAAGCTGTGATGATGCACAAATTGGTCTTGTGCAAGATCAACAATCGAGTATGTGAAGATGTGTAATTAATAAACAATAAATAAATTAATCAATAAAAAATAGTAAATATGAATTTAATACACAAATATATAGTTCTTTGGTTTGGATGACCTACTTCACTCTCGAAAAATGGTAGCGGTGGCGAGGGGTCTTTATTGATGAACAAAGTACTAGAGAGAGAGCTCTGGAGATGTATGCTCCGAGAGAGGTACAATAGCTAGGAGAGAGAAACTATGTGTGTAGGTGTAGAAAGGTGTGGTGAGATGTGTCTCTCCATGTAGGGAGAACTTACAATTTATGGATATGGTGAGGCAGTGAGGCGAGTGTGAGGGCACTATTTCTTTGGGGAGGATAGTTATAAAAAGGTAAGAAAAATTAAGGTAGGATTAATCTTCGTGAATGTATATCCCGATAATCTCTCTCCCATGTGCTATTATCTTCTCATACTCCTTGGATTTTGGACTGAGTTGGATTGATAAAGTGGGCTTAGACTACCTTTTAGCTGACTTGAGCTTGCCTGATTTATTGGGCTTGACCCAATTAGATTTGGGTTCGTCATTTGCCCCCATGCCCCAAAACTCTTGTTGTGTCAAAGATTTTGAGGGCATGTGTGAGTTCTCGTTTCTTTTCCTCCACGGCATAGCTTATTCATCCTTTTGCTCGGTTTCTTTTCCTCCATTTTATTATAGTAATGCCATTGAGCTAGAGAGGGTTTCATTTAAAAACCCCCTTCTTCCCCATTTAGGCATTCTCCATAAGGTTTTTATAGGTTCAATGTTGTTTCACTCCATTACATTCCTCTTTCTTTGCAACCCATTTCCTTAAGACATTAGATCCTCCATTGGGGACACTAGATCCTCCATTGAAGGTTGGGAAAGATCTAAGGAGAAAGGTTTCATAGAGAAGATCTTTGAAGTGGTCTCGTCAATGGAGAAGAGTGGGGAGCCAAGAGATTCCAAAGCCCATACGAAGAGGACCCTTGGCAAAGTCAACTGGTTGCTGGGCGACGCCAGCCAGCCGTTGGGCAATGCCCGCAACAAGAGGGAGAAAGGGCAAGAGGCAGAGATGGGGGAGCCCAGCTCCATGGGCAATGCCTATCCTGTGGAGAGAGGGTGAAAGAGAGAGATCGGGGAGCCCAGTCCCATAGGTGATGCCAGTGCACCACTGGGTAGCGTCATCTTCACGGTGGATCTCAGTGTGGCATCAGGTGCAGGGAGATACCTAGTGGGCGACACTCAAGGCCTGGTGGGCAACGCCAGCGTGGTAGAGGGCACCTCAAGCACTAAGGTAGGCGGTGCCCAAGGTGTCGAGACGTGCATCCCAGGTGGCAGTGGTGACTTAAATGCACTGGGCAATATCAGTGGATGTTCAGACACGTTGGGTAACTCCAAGGAGCATGCAGGTAAGTCCAATGACATCTTTAGACACTTGGGTAACACAAGGAAATGGCCAAATAGTGGTTTGAAAAAAATAATCTCATAGCGAATGTTGCCTGGTGGTCATACTTAATCTCTTGTTAGCATTGTTATTTTCTTAACATTGGCTTGATTTCGTTTTGACAGGCATCCATTCGGGTAAGCGGGAAACTACTCGAGACTTGGAGTGAGGCATAGGGACTAATGGAGATAATGGTTCAAAGGTAGCCTCCATATTTAGCTCCATTGACTATGACCAGGACATTACCGGTATAGTATCTTCGTATCACATTCCTTCTACTAGAATGTGTCGTCGCGTGGGGGAGGATGAGTCATCCTATTGTGACTCCTCTGGCGAGATAGTCATTTATAAGGACGTCTTGGAGGCGGGCTTGAGGTTTTTGATACCTGGACCCATATGTCGGGCTTTAGGGCACTTGTTGTTGGCTCCCGGGAGGCTGGCTCCCAACGGATGGAGGGTGATACTGGCATTCGTTTCATTGTGGCGGCTGGTCCATAATGCTGACGTCTCTCCCCCATTTGAAGAGTTCTTGGCCACGTATGTGCTCTTGGAAAATCTCATCCCTTATTAGAGGTGGTACCGTTTTGCTTCAAGGTTGGGTAAGTTCATCACTGGGCTTCCTTCGAACTGTCATAGTTGGAAGACCAAGTTCTTCTTTGTTGGAGGCGAGTGGGCCACCAAGAGTGATCATGACTTGGTGCCCTTGAGGTGGGACACTGTCCCCAAGACCAAGCTAGGTAAGGACTCCACTTTGAATTTTAATTCTAGTTGTCACATATTTTCTCTTACTGTGCAGTTAGCTACTTTGCAGCTTCACTGACATTATTCGCAGAGCAAGAGAGTAGGCTCCAAATGGTACGCAACCATCCGTTCAAGGAGTTCTCAGGGATTATGTCCGCATCAGGTCATTCCAAGGCTTCTCCTAGGCCGAAGAGGAAAGTTATTTAATCTTTCCAACAAGCTCTTTATGGTTGCATCATTGTAGGCTTTTTATTTTACACCGATTCTGTAGGTACCTCCATTGACAGGGCAGTGGTGGAGGTTGTCTATACCTCTAGGGCGAAATTTTCTCCTCCTTCTTTGAAGTGGTCGAAGTCTGATGCCCCCAGTGTTTCTTAGCTGAGGTCCACCGACTAGGCTAGTTCTTGAGGGGCGGCACCTGATGATGGCCCTCGTTCTCCCCCTGATTTCTATTCTTTCACCCCTAGAGATAGTCCCAGTACTATTGTGGGGGGCTGAGGCACCAGTGCAGTCTTCTACTAGGACGGAGGCTCTACTTAGCCATCCTGCTTCGGGCAATACTTCAGTATCCATGTTGTAGGATATGAAAACTGGACAATGAGTGACTTTTGGGGTTTATGACTCATGTAGAGATTGAGGTGGTTGCCTCTTGAGGTCCAAAGGGCATNCAGGATATGAAAACTGGACAATGAGCGACTTTCGGGGTTTGTGACTCATGTAGAGATTGAGGTGGTTGCCTCTTGAGGTCCAAAGGGCATTGTTGACGTTGCCATGGAGGGCTTTGCTTTGGTATGTTTGGCATTCTTCTTTGGTTTCGAACCTGACTTCTTTCCTTCATATTCTACTTTTGAATGCCTGCAGGTGGTTGCTACTTTTCCCTGCTTGTTTTCAAGTACGTTGAAGATTTGGGAGGCACTTAATGGTCAGGCAGTGGAAAGGAAGGCACACAAGGCTGTTAAAGAGCAGTTGGGGCTCGAGCTACAGACGTGAGAGGAAGCTGAGGAGTATGCGAGGCTAGCACACGAGAGAGCTACCACACTTGAGATCAAGCTTCAGACGTCCCGCGAGAGGGCCGCCCAACTGGAGGCTGACATAGAGGTTACAGTGATAGAGTTGTGAGCGTCCCGTGAGAGGGCTGCTGTGTCAAAGGTTGACCTTCAAGCAACTCTTGAGAGAACTGCTAGGGTAGAGACTTACTTCATAGAGATGGAGAAGAAAAGGGATGTTGCTGAGAAGGCTATGGCATATACCTTTATTGATGGCTACGAGGAGCTCAGGGGAAAAATCTCAACAGTTTTTCTCTCTTATGACTTTTTTGGCTTCGTCCCTTATGAGGCTCTAGGGACTGATGATGAGGACACGAGCGATGATGGGAGCAGAGGCAGTGAGTGTCGTTGGGAGTATGGTACCTTTGTATTTACATTTTTGTTGATAGGTCATGTTCTATCTTTTTATAAAAACATCATGAACTTCAATGAAATACAAATTTTTGAAAAAATATTGCGAAATTTTATTTCATAATCCAAAGTAAATATTTAAAGGAAATTGACCAAAACAGAAGTAGATAATCTAAATGGTGACCACTGACTTATACACTCACTATCTTGCCCCCAACTACTGGTAATATTTCTTTAGATGCTCTATGTTCCATGGATGAGCCAAGGCTTTTCCTTTGAAATTCTGGATTCTATAGGTGCCCGGTCTTATAACTTTCGCAACCGTGTAAGGTCCTTCCCAGTTGGATCCCAGTTTTTCTTCCTAGTAGTCTTTGATAGACAAAAAGACCTTTTTGAGGACTACGTCCTTGGGCAAGAAGAAGCGAGGCTTCATCCTCGAGTTATAGTACTTGATCATGTGATGCTTGTACTCTACATTCTTAAGCATGACTATCACCCTTTCCTCCTCTACTAAGTCGAGGTTGTCATTGCCTTGAAAGTTCAGCTTGACAAGCCCAAATCTAATTGGGCCAAGCCTAGTAAATTAGGCAAGTTCAAGTCAGCTAAAAGGCAGCCCAAGCTTGTTTTATCAATCCAACCCAGTCCAAGATCCAAGGAGTCCGGGAAGATAAGAGCATGTGGAAGAGAGATTATCGGAATACACACTCACGAAGATCAATCCTACCTTAATTATACTTACCTTTTTGTAACTATCCTCTCTGAAGAAGTAGTGCCCTCACTCACGTCACCGCCTTACCATATCTATAAATTGTAAGCTCTTTCCATATGGAGAGACACATCTCACCACACCTCTCTACACCTACACACATAGCTTCTCTCTCCTAGCTATTGTACCTCTCATGGAGCATACAATAGAGACCCCCAGTCACTGCTACCATTTCTTGAGAGTGGAGTAGGTCACCTAGACTGAACCACTATATATATATATATATATATATATATATATAT